TTACCCACCTCGGAAGGATGGAAGGCTGAGTCAACCCTGAGCTGGTGAGATTTGAACCGCTGACCTGCTGATCTAGCAGTAGCCTGCAGTGCTGCTTTTTAACCACTGCGCCACCTGGGCTCTTAATGGGCAGATCATAATCCAATAACAATGACTTGGAAAGGACAGAGAAAAAGAATGAGATGGGTATTAAATCAAAATCTATTAAATGAAAAAGAGTTCCAGCAGTACATGGAAAAACAATTAGCTTTCTTTTTTAAGGAAAATAGAAAAGAGGATAGGTCACTGCAGAATGTGTGGGATGCCAGTACAGCATATATTAGAGGACAGGAAATGATATATTCAGGAAAAAGGAATAAACAGAGAAGACAAACATGAAAGAAGAGGACACATATAAGAGGTTGGAGATAGAATTATAGAAAAATCCACAAAATATAAAGATTAAGAATGTGATGGACTTGCAAAAACATAAATTGAATTTAATGGAAAATGAAGACATGGCAAATAAAATAAGATCAACAAGACAATTTTTTTTTGAGAATGCAAATAAAACAGGATGATGGCTGGCAATTAAGATGAAAAAGGAGAAAGAAAAAATTAATAAATCAATTAATAGATCAAGAAGGATATATATGTTACCAAAATGAGCAAAAGAGAAAAATAATGGAGAATTATTATAAAAAGCTATATCAACAAGAGATAGTAGTAGAGGGAAAGATAAAAAATATTTAGAAAAAGCTGAAACACCTAAGATTCCAGAAAAATTTAAAAAGGCACTAGAAGAGAGAATAACAATGATGGAAGTGATGGAAGGAATTAAAAGACAAAAGAATGGGAAAACACCAGGGCTGGATGGATTGTCAGCTGAGTTCTATAAAACATCACAAGATGTGTTAAGTAATGTAATGCTAGAAGTATTTAATGAGTTGTTATTAGAAGCGAGAATACTGGACTCATGGTCGGATGTGTATACAACTCTTATTTCAAAAGAAGAGTCAGACCTGCAGCATGTAAAGAACTATAGACCAATCTTTTTACTAAATGTGGATTATAAATTTTTTGCATCAATAATGGCAGAAAGACTTAAGAGACTGCTAAATGAATTCATACATTCAGATCAAAATGGTTTCTTTCCCAAGAGGCAGATTAGGGACAACAATCATATTGAGCACTTTAGAATATTATGAAGCACATCCAAAGAAGGAAATGGCATTGCTATTTTTGGATGCAGTGTGTTACATACTGACAGCCAGTGTGGTAGTTTCCTCTGATCCGGCGGGAACCATACTCAAATGTGATTGGTCAAGAGGTCTAACAGCTCCCTATAGAAGGGCTGTTGCCAGACAGAGCTTTTGCTGGATTGTACATAGTTGTCACTTAATCAAGAGCTGTTGTTGCTGAAGCCTGAGTCTTGCCTCTTCCATTCACCCGATCTAACACTAACCCGATCTGGTGATGAAGGTGGGATTGGAAAGCAACTAGGCACCAAAAAGAGCAAACACAATCCAGCAAGTCAATCCAGCCCAGAGCTAAGCTCAGCATCGAGTAGCCATCTTTAAGTGGCAAATTCAAATCTGCCTTGATTGAACAACATGACTATGCACGCCCCACCAGCTCCGTACGACAGCCATGGAGCACTGGGACTCGTATATGATGCTGTTTGAACACTTTTTCAAAGCCAATGACCTCCTGGACCTGTCCTAAGGTCGAAAGAAAGCCATGTTCCTGAGCTACTGTGGGCCAGAGGGATTCGACACTGCCAAGGATCTATCCGAGCCAACACCAGTCCAGTCAGTCACTTGGTTGGTGCTACAACAGACGTTGAGGACACACTATGCTCCCAAACCATCTAAATATGTGCTCCATAACCAGAAAGAGGGTGAAATGATCAACCAATATGTTGCTGCCCTGCGAAAGGCTGTGGTCTACTGTGAATTTAGGGACTTAGATG